AATCAGATGCAGATACAGGGGCTTCATGAGCGGTGGGGTGGCTGTCACCAGCAGGAACTGATTTTGGATGGGCTTACCGTAGCTCATATAACGACCCTCGAATAGATTCACTTTTCATCTAACACATACTGTTTGTGGAAGAGTTATAGTGTAGCTGTGTTCCATAATTTGAACAAGAGTAACAAAGTAAAACATTTGTGATGGAATTAGTAGAATACATTCGTTCAATCTTCCATAAAATTAGAGTCGATACTAGTTCAGTCACGAAGCCTCACAGGAACATCTCATATTAAATTATTCCTGTGTTACGTGTATATAATTACATAATTAGGATAATTTTATTTACAATTTTATTTTTACCCGTATAGTTGGAAGGCCTGGTGTGTTCTTAATATATTCTATAAACAGACATTTTAAAATTCTTTAATTCATTAATACTCAAGAATATATACGTTAAATGAATAGGTAGTCATAATATGCTCTAATAATTAGAGTTATATTGTTTGTAATTGTTTCTGTGACTGCATCTTGGTCGTTAGTAGACCAGATTTTATGGCTTTTTTTCCGTTGACTGAAAGTCTATAACATATATTTCGTTTTTCAAACCGATACTACGTTATTACTGAGCAAGTTGGGTAGTTCGGTAAAGCTTCTTAACTCTATTAGGCAGGTGCCCGTTCGAAACTCGGCTGAGATACCAAGTATCCCGGCTGAGGCTCGTAGTGGATTTCCTCAGTTCCTCCAGACCAGTGTCTGGATAGCACTCTTCATTAGCGTCCAGTCTTTCGACGCTGTACAGTCTGATTTATTGTCGGCGCCGTTAAATGAACCACGAATAAGAAATGCATATTGTAACATGTATAGCTAGGCAACGGCCGCATTAACATTTCCTACGTAACACAGTGAACTATAGAACTTCGGTTACTAGGGTTTTGATAAGCGCAGTGTAACTTTAACATGATAACGAACCTCCAAAGCACAGTAGCAGCGGTGAAGGCTATAACTCTGCTGATGAAGGAGGCGATCTCCATACGGTTTCGACCAGAACCTACCTCAGGGAGAGAACTGACAGACAGAATACGACATAAGTCAGAAGTGAAGTCTTTATTTTATATGGCTTAGTTACAGTAACCTTTAGAATGTTATCATTGTTCGTAGTTACGAAGTGTTACTGTTACAGTAAGACTGTGTTCCAACTAATTGTAGCACCCGTTTGATGAATATCCAATAAATCGATTCATCTAATCCGCAACCAATTATCAATATATTGTAATATGTATTCAACCCCCGCATAATTTTACGACATGTGATAGTGTACCCTGCACCACGAGCTACCCTACTTGTTTATTCTAAGTTGTCCGTTTCCTGTATGGGGTAGTCTAGACCCCGAAATTCTGAGTGAATACAAAATAAGAGGTTCACCCTTTTGGGGAGAGACGTGCTTATGGGCACTTCCTGCAGGTGTTCTCCCCTCGTGATTTCAAAAATCATTTTAATTGGAATCCTCATTTGGAATTCCTATGACCATCCAGTGCTCCATACGTCTGAATGGTCAAACTCTTCTTTAAGGACGACGAATCAAATGTCGATCCTGAATCTGACTACGCCCTCAATAGGCGTGTCTCTGGGTGTCCAAGCACCAAGTTCGGGGTTCGAATCCCTTTAAAAACTCAGGCTTTGCCAGCCACGGCGGACACCACGCTAAGCTTTTGACTTGTTCACTTCGGTCGGACTCCTCGCCAGTTTAATCACTATCTTCACGCATTTTGTGTGTTACTACTGAACTTCAGTGCGACAGCATCGAGTAGCACACTCAGCACCTCCCTGGAGGCTACCTCTCACTACCTGCCGAATCCTACCGCGTTGGTGCATAGTGCACTCACATCCTTTTGTTCATTTATCAATTAACTATAATTACTATTCCTAATGTAACTTTGTATAAGCATTTGATTCAATACATCATTCTATTAACCTGAAAACCGACTTCCGAAGACTTGAATTTCAATTCTTAAGTGCTCCAACGATCCCAGTCCACAAGACTTCCGCTCGGTCTACAAGTACTTCCCATCACTATCCTTCGGGATACAACAATATTTATTAGTCGAATCAAGGCACAAACTGACCTATAGGCTTAATTGCATTGTTTCTATTTCTTAAATTTTTGTTTTATATTTAAGTAACTTTGTTGAGACATGGCTTGTTGCAAGAAGACACGGAACCTGTGTACTGTTGCTTTATTCGGTGCAGGCCAATAGGCAGAAAGTTGCTTTCCATCTGTCATGGTTCTGTCAGTACGTTATTGTTGTAGTTCAAGTTATATTCTTACTTTGTAAACGTGCCATTTCTCAGGAGTGTTGAGATGTTTACACCTTTGAATCGAAAGTGCGTATGTGAACAGCATCTTCATCACCGAGAGGGCTGGTGTGGCTGTAATGGGCTGGGCTTGTATTTGGGAGCTGCTCTGCTCAAATCTTCGGGACATGGGCTTTTCTGACTGAGATTTTCGAATTGTATCTCAGTCCCTCCAAACAAATTCTGGAAAAGTCTCCCTATTAGGAAACAACAGCTTCCTTCCAAATCCTTTCCAGTCATTCGACGTCATGTAGTCCACGCATGGACAGCGTCGCAAAATAAATTACGTAATGTATCAACTTGTATTTTACCTTATGGTCACTCAGTATTAAGAGCAATAGCCCATACCTCATAGTCTTCTATTATTTTTATACGACTGCATAATGAGGAGCTTCATAACTTGTACGCTTCTCCAAGTATAATTAGAATGATCAAGTCAAGGACGATGAGATGGGCTGGATATGTAGCACGTATGGAGGACGAGAATGAATGCATATAGGATATTGGTGGAAAAGACGAAAGGAAAGAGACCACTGGGAAGACCAAGACCTAGGTGGCTGGACAATATTGAAATGGAGCTTAGAGAGATAGGATGGGATGGTATGGATTGGATTGATCTGGCTCAGGATAGGGACCAGTGGAGGGCTCTTGTGGACACAAGTCCATAAAATGCTGGGAAGTTCTTGAGTAGCTGCACAATTAAACCCAATTAAAGAACGTTGACATCAAGGACCGATAAGAGGGGAGGATAATAATAAAATGGATCTAAGGACAGGAGATTATGTGAACTTGATTAAAATGGCTCTGATATGTATCCAGTGGCTGTGTTGAACTCTCAGCTTGTGTTACCAGAGATTTAGTTAAATCCTCCTGAGAACACTGTAACTTTGAAGTTGATATCTGTGAAAGAAAATGTGTTGGACTGTAGTGACAGCGTATCGAATAACTGAAATTCACACTGTTACCGTAAATATGTCGCTACTAATTTCATAAATTATATATATTCACGGAGTTCGCATCCACATATTGCTACTGTAGAAAGCTAGGAACCTCTGAAACAGGTGCGCACACTGTGATTCATATGAGTCCTGTTTTTGAAGAAGTGGAAAAGGCACCTTAGGAATGGCAGAGAAGGCGCGTTTTGTTTACGCATGGCGTCTGTCTGCTGTTTGTATAAATGCAGTCGTCTGACAGAGAGCAAATTCTTATTCTGTATCGAAGAAATCAAAGCAAAGGCCTATGCATTTAGTTAGCATCAATGCCATGGTCGCGCCATAGCTCAAGAGGTTAGTCGCTGGTTTCCCAACGCGGCGGCCCGGGTTCGATCCCGGGTCTGGTCAATAGGGATTTGTGGTGGACAAAGTGGCGCTGGGGCGGGTTTTCTTCGAGTACTTCGGTCCCCCTTGCCAATTTTCATTCCATCAAATTCTCCATCATCATAATCACCATGGTCAAGTACACTAGGCCAATCAGTGGCCGCCTTTGCCGAGTGGACCCAGCTGGACTCCACCCCTCACTAAGCGAATTAAAAAAAAAGCATCAATGCCAGTGAGGCACGAGAAGTAGCAAATGACGCGTTTGGAAAAAAACGTTTATTTTCAACTCATGGTGTTATTGAAGTGAATCGATATACGTATATAGATCGAATTCTACAATGTCAGACTCTTAACAAAATTTAAAAGCTCGGTTATGCCCGGCGTAATAGAGATACTTTTCCTGTGTCATTGGTGGATCTGAGTCTTTCAGAGCAGTGACTATGAAGAATGCTATCTTCTGGTATGTGACGCCGACTTTCCTCCGAAACGTCGATGAACTTATACCAGATTTCATTGTGTCACGCTCATAAAGGCAGTACTACTTATACAGATGTAATTTTTTGTTTTTAAACTTTTCATTGATAGTGAAAACACGTTACAGTATTATTTTGTGACACTAAATTAAATAAAGGCGCAATCACATACAGATCAGAAGCCAATCGGCGCTGTGTATCGCGAGAATGACGATGATGGTGATAAAGACAACGAAGTTGCTGAAATTAAGATACAAATTAATCAGGTATGGAAGAAATATTTTATTTGTGCAATTCAAAGTAAATTGGAAGCTGCCAGAATTAGTATATTTAATTTACGAAAGACATCTTAACACGAGGTATATTTTCTAACTTTAGAATTTAATTTTAAATTACATTCTGATAATTTAGTAATGTTACCAAATTGGTTTAAGTAGTGGTAATGCATCTCACTTGAACATTCGAGGGCGGGGGAGGGGTGAGATGGACGGAAGGGGTAGGAAAGTACTTTTATACACGTCACGATAGCTTCTTTGTCGATTCATCCAATGCACCAGACCTATACATTAATCGCCCACTTATATCACTATATGCACGTATAGTTGGACAGCAATGCCAAGCAACAGGAATAAATAAAGAATAAAAAAAATACATTGGGGAACGTGGGAGCGTAGTTGGTTGAGACACTATGCTACAAGTCTGAAGGTCGTGGGTGATGACCTAATCGTTCCGCCGCACTATGGCTCTGGGGTCGACTCAGTCTCTAACAGAAATGAGTATTAGGGATCTTCCTGGGGGCGCGTAAGGCTGACAATCTTACCGCCATCTTTGAGCCGATTGTGTAGAAAATGTGGGAACCTCGACGTCTTACAACCCTATGGGCCTTCACGGCCTGCTACAAGGATAGCTTTACCTTTTTTAAAAGAATAAAATTATCTAGAAATTGATTGTTAGCGTATTCGCAGATTTTCTAGTAGCCCGTCTGCTGACAGGTTTCTTACGCGAGAGGTGGATGTGTGGAATTATCACACTGCATTCAAGAACCATGTTCGTAAATTTATATTGAATTCACGTTCATGTTATAGAAATTAGTTGTTCCCGTGTCTCGGCGACTTCTATGGTATTGTGGACATTTCGAATTTTCTGCACGAACCTCAGGGAAATTGTTTTGGAAAGTCTTATTAAACTGTGGACAGTCCTTGGTTCCGTCTCTTAATTTCTTGCTTAGAGAATATCTGATTACATCCCATGTGGGAGCTCAGAGATAGCGATTGCTGTCTGCAAGCGCCGTAGCACGTGTGGAACTGGTCGCCCTGCCGGAGGACACAGTGGTTGGCTGGTGGTGACTGTAGCGGTAATGATGGTGGCAGCACTGTCGCGTCTGCTCCTGCAGCAGTGAATCTGGAGTGCCTTGTTCTTTGTGGTGATGGCTCTGCTGCTGGTTGATGAAATGAATTGTGGCTGCATGTGGCGGAGCGTGGTGGGTCCGAAGGTTCTCGTTTATGGCTGCAGCTCTCCGGAGTGTATGCAGCATGTAGCACCGCCGGTGCGGACTGCGGTAGGAATCGTAACCGCTTGATGTGGTGGCGCTTCGAAGAGGCGCTCTAATCTGCAATTATAGAGAAAATGGCGAAAACAAAACAACCGTACTGCTACGCTTCGTGCGACTTTGCGTCGACACGCTCCTGATACAAACGTACAGCAAGAATGAGCAGCATCCTACTGACCATGCCGTCAGAACAACAATAAAATGACAGTAGTAACAGCTACGGTTGTACTACTCTAAGCCACGAAAGTAAATCCCTTGAGTAGTGGGAATGACTACGCTCGAAGCTTCCTCGCTACTGTTGGCTGTTGAAATCCCCCACCCAAACCCCTCTACAGTCCATTCGCGGAGACGAGAGAGTCCTCGTAAACAAATGCACGCGGTATCTCCTTCGCTCTTTGAATGAAATCATGCAGCGATCACGTGATGCGTGTCCCGTTGCAGGGGCGTCCAAAGTTCACTCTTCAGTCTAACGTGCGTCCGAATGCAGTGAGTACACTGAAGTAACTGCTCGCTTTGTCCACTCCTTGCTGTCAGCTGTGGCGACGCGGGGCTTGCTATGTTTACGCTAACTGTCTCGTCTCCGCGAGTGGACTATAGCATACGTTAAATAACAACGCTTATCGCTAGCGAAGGTTACTACACCGTTATCAGATGAATATCACTACCACTATTTTTCTGAACTGAATGGCTAGACGAGTGCACGAGGGATGTATGGAAGTACACGAGGGAGACTTGAAGGCCGTCAATCCATGGATCTTCCTTCTACAGGCGTAGTGTGTTGGACGTAATAATATGGCGAAGAAAACGCAGTGGAATGACACCTCCAATGCCAGAAAAATATTGTGGCGTGTCGCCTATGGCCAGAATATTTTGAATCAGAACGCATCCATTGCTTTACAACGGCTAGCAATTTCTAGGCAGCGAAGCCTAGGAAATCGTTGCCCCGGAAGGAATTGCTAGCCGTTGTATAGCAATGGATGCGTTCTGATTCCAAATATTCCGACCATAGGCGACATGCCACATTATTATATGGGAAAGAATAATTAGGGTATTAACTGTAATGAGGTATAGCAGTGATTACGTAGAAAATATACGAGAACAGCAGGCCAGATATGCAGAAATGGTTCTTAAATTAAGGAATAACAAAATCAAGGAGACAAGGCTGATTCGCATGACACTACAATTAAGCAGCAACATTTAAAAATCTCAAAGTAATACATGTTTAAATTTGGCACGAGAAGATAAAAATACGCATGTATAGAGATTGGAATAGATACTAAGGATCTCAGTCATTAAGATCAGAAACACTTTCTTTGATGCGATATCCTCATAAATTATAAGTTGTCACAAAAAAAAATATTTTACTGGAAGTGTGAAGTTCCGTGAGATTTTTAAATCCCGTAAACAAAGGAAACATGACACAGTAAAAGAATTTCCGGAATATGTTGTTGACAAGTGAATGTAAAAATGAAGGAAGGTGTTCTTAGAACTCACAAGACATACTCTCCTGCTGGAGACGTACAGCTCTACCCACCTTGTACCGTTAACGTCAGAATTAGCGTAAATCTGTAATCTCGCATCATGCTCTACTTGTACTCAGAAAGATTAAAAATAATCGAGTCGGATGTTTATAGCTTGTGATTTTAAACAAAGTAGACGTTAGTTTCATTATTACTTATTTTATGTCATGGAAAAACTTCTTACTTCATTACAAATTTTTCTACCTTAAATTTATCAGGCATTTCCACGAAGGTTCGCTCCGTAATCATGTTTGTAGTTTTTTAAATTATAAACAGATTTTGATACAGTACTTGCATGTGTGGTATGTTTATTATCTACCCTCAAGCTAAGTTTCATATTCCTGTCTGCACAGATTAGTTAGTTTCGGCAATCAGATAGAAGGGCACTATGCTACAAGACGGAATGTCGTGGGTTCGAGTCCCGATGAGACCATTTGACTTTTCAATTGACGTAATCCTTCCAGCCGCACTATGGCCCTGGGGTCGACTCAGCCTCTAACAGAAATTACCACCAGGAATCTTCCTGAGCCGATAAAGGGCGGCCGGCGCTTAAGGCTGACAACTTCACCGCCATATGTGAGCCGATTATCTAGAAAAATGTGGGAACCTCGACGTCTCACAACCGTATGGGCCTTCACGGCCTGTTACAGGGATACTTTACGTCCTTTTTCTTTAACCAGATAGAAAGCTAAATACAGAGTTTTTACAATCTCGATTAATCTTGCCTTTCCCCCTCCCCCGCCAGAATCAAATATCATGTCATTCGACGACTATGTATTACATGGCGTTGCCGTAGTGTCGCTACTCTTGTTGTTACCAAGTACAGGAGAGAGCGAAGCTGAGGAGACCTCCAGAGGCATCACATCCATGCCAGGTTTTGTGACCATCGGTAATCGAGCCTAGAACTTGGAACTGGGATACGCACAGACACCATGGTGAGCTCGGACGCCTACCTTGGTGCCTTATTTAGAGCAGGTTATGATAGCGGTAACGCTAGAGGTATATATTCTGGAAGTGCTGGTTTCGGATCTCGTCTGAGACAACGGTTATCGTGACTGAGATGTTCATGAATTCACTCGGTCCTACCAGGTGAATTCCGGGGTAGTTCCGTGATTCGACCACAATCTTTCCCAACTCATTTTTCATCAATCACGCCACCATTGAACGCTGTATATTCTGAGATACTGACGTGAGAGCGATGCGTGATAGACTACAGATATTTCCGTTTCCTTATGAAAGAAATGTAAGCCGAAGATTACAATAATATCAATGATGATACGCAACGATAACATTGATCACGACTACAATATTAATGTTAATCATAATTACAGTAATAACAAAAACAATAAAAATTGCAGTTTTTGAGCATTATTCTAATCGTTCGTGAAATTACAGAAAGGCCTCTGTGGTTATCTGTTAGGAACCGGGGCTGTATAGCACACTGATATCTCTTGGGCATTAAGTGAATGTACACTCTCACTATAACTTACACTATTTCTTATATGTTTTCTGTATATTAATACGGAAACTTGCATTTTATTTTTTTCTCTTCGCCATGCTGTATGGGTGTCTGCGTGTCTGCTTTCTGCGGTCCGAGTTCCCTCTTTACACTTGTTTGTCTAATTGTCATCTGCCCTGCCTTCTTGTGCCCTCTGCGTTGAAATGTTAAGAGGCTCCTGTCTGATGCTTATGCCAACCTTCCGTCAATAATTCGTACCTCAACACAAACCAACCCATCACTTAAAAAGAATGCCGTCTTCTGGGATGTGGCGGCAACCTGCTCATGCTGATTTCTCGCTCTCGGATTTCTTATACCCTGAAAATGGAGGCGATACGTTCCTCTGAAACGTCGGTTAACACAGTATCTACACGGTGCCACATCCCAGAAGACGGCATTCTTTATAGTCACCGCCGTGAAAACCTCAGACCTTACATACACCCCCTAAACTTCATATTTCCTATGTTATAGCCGTCAACACAACAAACAGAGCGGAAATGTCTTCAGTGAAGACGAGAGATGTTGGTAAATCGTAAGTATTAGTAATGAATTTTATTAGAATATTAGAATGTAGATCTATGCTCACTCTACAAATATACTTTTATATATATATTCGCTTGGAACAACAGACATCAGTTGCATAACATGGATCCATAACCTGACTATTAATTTTAATCGACTGAGTTGCAGATCATAGAGAGGTGTCTGATGATGACCTAAATTATAGGTCGAAACATGTAGCGCAATCTACGCTTACATTACATAACCAATGAAGACCTAACAAGCGTCTTTCAAGTACAGAGCGCAAGGCTGGGATGTCTGCTGCCACCCCACTCCTCACATTTTCGTGTTTGCAGCCTGATGGCGTCAGTCTGCTGAGTTCAGTGTGTCAGACACGTAATGCAACCTGTAGAGTCTTCCCCCAGATAAGAATGGCTTACTGGGGAACATTAGGGGCCGGGATAGCGTAGTCGGTATAGCGACTGGCTACGGGCTGGACGACCGGGGGCTCGGAGTTCGAGTCCTGGTAGGATCAAGAATTTTCTCTTCTCCACGTCGTCCATACCGCCTCTGGGGTCCACTCAGTGTCCTATCCAATGGGTACCAGGGGCTTTTTCCTCGGGGTAAATCGGCCGGGTCGTGAATCTGACCACTCACCGCCAACTGGTACCAAGGTCAAGAAAATGTGGAGTTATTCAACCACTCCCCATACGCCTTCATGGAGTAGTGTTTAATAAGTTTAAACACAAGGAAAACTTTATCTTTACATATTAGGGCACATTAGATCCGTTCTGGTTACTCCTGTAAGATTTTCATTGTAACTCAATGCATTCACAGCGGTATCGTAGAGACGCACGTGTTTTGCTGAAGCTGGTAACACAATAGAAATGGTGTTAGCTGGGTCAATACAGCAAATTCAGGGCAGTTGGAGTGTACACTCATTTTATTTCATTCATTCATTCATTCATTCATTCATATTCTTGTTGCTCCCTCTGGAGCATAGGGCATCCGGAAACGCTTCGTTTCACTTCAGTTTCTTAATCTTAGACAGTCGGTAGGACTCCTTGGATGAAGGATCAGCCCGTCGCAAGGTCACTGCCTGAATAGGACGACACAAACACAAAATAAAACCTAGACAAACATCCATGCCTCGAGTGGGATTCGAACCCACTACGCCAGTGTTCGAGCGGACGAAGACAGTTCATGCCTTAGGGCGAGGGCACACCAAGGAAACTGGCAACCGCAACGCAACCGCAATTTCCGAGAATTGATATCGGCCTGAGTTGAACACGTGTTACTGAATGGAGCAGCGCGAATTGAGGACAAGGCAACGCAACTCGCGGAAAATCTGAGAAACTCAACTTCCATGCAACGGGGCATGCCATTCTTCTCACAATTTGGTTGCCGCGTGGTTTCCTAGTATCAGCTGTTCTATAACACACGTCAGTGATTTAATTGAGCAAAAGCCTGGTACATGTGACAGACGCCACCCAGACTATACTAGGCAGGACAAAACATATTTGGCTTGGGAAAGAATTTCT